CTTCTATGATGATATTTATGTGTTTGTGCTTATGGATCATCTACTTGTACTTTATAATGTATTCCATATGTGATTTGATGAAATTTTACAAAGAAAATTTCTTTTATTGATCAAACATAATTTTTGGTTTTAAATCTTGATTTATGATTTCATTTGAGTGATTTTTTTTTATTTGAAAACTTTTTTTCATGATTCTTATGTTTTCTTTCCCTGGATTTCATAAATCCATTTTTACATTATTTTTATGTTTGAGCAATAAGACACCTTTTTCATATTAATATATTTATGTGTCCTCATTATATTTTTGTATGTGAGTTTTGTTTAGCACAATTTTTATTTATGTTTTCTCACATATTTTCCATGATCTTTTATTGCATATACTCCATATGGTATTTTGATAGAGGGAGCAATCCCTATATTTGTTTTATACTCACCATGCTTATTTATAGGGGGAGCTTTCGCTCTCTAAATTCTTTTATTTTCCCCTTTTTGATGTTGTCAAAGGGGGAGAAATATTATGAGTATATTTTTTTTGTTTATATGCATGATAATTATAATTTGTATTTTCTTTTCCTTTCATGCATATATATTTTTGTAAATTGTTTGTCATCATCAAAAGGGGGAGATTGTTAGGTCCTTTTATTTTGATGATGATTTACAAATAATTTACATCTAATGTTGTTTGTCTAGTGTTTGTGTTTTGTATCTATTCTAGGTAAATAATAAGTTGGAGGTTGGATGGAATTGCGCTTCAACGATCAAATCCAATGGAGGTTGGCGGAATAATGGAGTGAAGCAATACAATTCATGTTGAAGATCCAAGTTCAAGCTTCATCCGCAAATTTACCAAGAAGAGCTTATTGGAGATCAAGATCATAGCTTGGGTAAATAGTTTAGGTTTTATATTATGTGTGTTAATACTTTAAGCTCAATCATATACACACATACACGCTTTGGTTTTGTATATATATAGTTATATATATACATACATGTTTTGATTTTCAAGTTTATATGAAAATGAATTTTTGTGAAAACATTGTTTTATTAGTTTATATACTTCAATATCACTTTATACATAGTTTATCAAGTCTATAAAAACATTTCACAAAGTTTCAAAAGTTTGTTAAGTCAAATGCAATTCAAAAAGGTTTCTGTTTTGTTTTGGTCGACTGACCAATCGACTAATAAGGTCATCAGTCGACTGATAAGGTCTGTTAGTCGACTGATGAGCTGGAAAATGTTTCTAACGGTCAGATCATCAGTCGACTGATGCTGTAACGGCTAGTTTTTTCAGCCTGTTCTAGATTTGGGTTTTTTGTCTTTTTTGCTTTGTTTTTCTTGTGTTTTGGGGTCTCTATAAATACCCCTCATACCTCAGACCAAACATCACCAAGAATATATTTTAAGAGAGTTTAAAAAAGGTTTTAAAGTTTAGTTTAAGTTTATTTAAAAAAGTTTTTAAGCATTTTTCAAGTTTCGGTTTGTGAAGAAACTTTCACAGGAGCAAGTGGAGATCATCTATTGGTGTTTGAGCATTCAACTCTTCTCCCTCTCTCGTGTTATCTATAGAGAAGTTTTCCTAAACTCAATCTAGCTTTACATTTATATTGTTTGATTATTATTTTATTAAGCTAGTATTTATATTGAGTTTGGTTACATTTATTCACTCATTGTTTACACACACAACCATTGAGCTTATTGTATTTTTATACATTGTATAATTTGGGTTGTGGGGTTTGTGTGACATTGAGTGTGAGCCTACACTGTGTTCTCATCTATTGTAGAGAACAAATTTATATTTGTGAGCTTCATTGTGAGTTGCACATTGTATTACACTTGGACACTGAGATAAGTGGTTGGTGAGAGACGGGGTCGGTTCTAAGAGGAGTGGGGTCGGTAGTAAAACCTAGTGAAAGGTGGTAATTCCGAATACTTGAGGAAGATGACACGGGCTAGGCCAACACTTAGAGGGTGTGAAGTGTAATTACAAGTGTATAAGTTGTAAAGTTTTCGGTGAATTAGAAAACCGATTATTGTATTGAGCCTAATTGTGAGGATTCACTTTGTATTGCACTAGTACACCAAGACGAGTGTGTGGTGAGAGAAAGGGTCATCCCAAGAGGAGTAGGGTAGGTGGTAATGCTTAGAGTGAGGTTGCAATTCTTAACACTTGAGGGAGACACGGGCTAGAGACCAACACTTGAGGTAATAGTTAGTGTAGTTACATTATGAGATTGTGAACGTTGATCGGTGAGTGTTGAAAAATGATATTGTGTGGTGTAAATGTTTTCAGGTGATCAATTAAGACCTGGTGTGATAGCAGATTTCTCCCCGGGAGTGGGGAGCGGAGACATATGACGAAAGGTCCGAACTCCGTGATCATATTGCTTGTTTGAGTTTGGCTTAGCACACTTATATTTGTGTTCATATTTATTGTCATTCTCTCATTGTTTATTTCATCCATAATATTGATTATATTGTTTCACCCTTATGTTAGTTTTATTTCATTACATATATCTCTTGTTGTATCTCATTGCTAGGATATATTTATTAATAAGTTTTAAATTGGTATAAATCGGATTAGATTAGCATAAACCTTATTCACCCCATCTAGGGTTCTTTCCTAGTGGCATTAGGGTACTTTCAGTTTCTAAACATGTAGATGAACATGTTAGAGAAATAATTTCTAAAATATAACTTCCTAATTGAGAGAAATATTTGTTTGAAAATAGATATTACAGATTCTAAAAGCTGCTGAAACACCCGATTTTGTAAAATCAATTCAGCATAGTAAATCAACTCCAAAAATGATAAAAGTTTTGAAAATGTTTGTAAACATATAATAAAACATGTTAGAAAAATAATTTCTCAAATTTCATTTCCCATTTGTGTCATATCTTTTATTTTGTAAACCATTCAAAATATAAAAATATATTTATATATGTGTTGTTAAGTTTTTATGTTTATGTGGCTAAACACATTATTTACCAAAACCAAAAATGATAAATATGAAACATGTATATATGTATATAAATAAGTATATTTGTTTCATATTTATATAAATTTGAAAACTATCAAACCAAAATGTGTATGTGTGTATATGATTGAGCTTAAGTATCTACACACATAGTATAAACCCTAAACTAATTTACCCAAGCTTGATTGATCTTCAATGAGCTTGTCTTGGATGAGGATGAATCTTGATCTTAAATATGATTTGAAGTGTATACTATTCCTTCCATCCTCCAAAGGATATGATCGTGAAAGCTCTAGTCCATCCATCCTCAAACATGAATATTTGTGTAGATTACTTAATAAAACAAATGCAAACACTCAACACACGTTGTTAGGAATTGTTTGTAATCATCAAAATAAGATTAGAAAATAGGCTCATAAACATGAGGCCAACTTCGGCATCCAACCAAGTCGGAGTTTCTATTCACAATAACTCCTCCTCGGTTAATGAGTCATTTGATGAAACCATGCTAACTCTGACGAAGAGGGCTTGTCAGAGATAGCGCCAATGTCTCCCTCGTTAGCTCGCCAAGGCCTTGGAGTATGTTGACGGGGTTCACTATTATGCGAATCTAGATTCAAGGAAGCGTCGAGTGATTCAGCCATCTTAACGGCAAGAAACTCATGTTTCCTCCAAACCGTCAGCCAACAAATAGGTTCGTGTCAAAAGGACTCGTTTAACTCTCAAGGAATGCATCCAGAAGCGCCGCGCACTTAACACGCACACACGTGCTTTTGTGCGAAAGGCACAAAAATTACAGAATGAAGAGGTAGCTAAAAAACAACCAAAATCAAGCAAAGTTTGGGTGCCAAAGTCCAAGACGACACAAAAATCAAATGAGAAGATAACCAAAACTGTCTCTGAGGGTCGAGACACATCAAAGTGTCTCGCGGGCAGAGACACACTAAGGTGTCTCACCCCTGGTCGAGACACACCCACCTGTCTCGACCAGAGAGATAGGCCCATGGTTACTTCCTTGTCCTTGTCGACACCCGCTCCTAGTTCTTCTTTTGTCATACCTCCGGTGAAGCCTCACAGCAGTGTTGACCTGTCAAAATTTAAGATCACGATGGCAGATTGCCTTGGTCCTCTATACGAAGATCGAGACCAAGTTTCAATGAAAGAACATTTAGGTTTGGTGAATAAATCCCAAGTGACTCTTTAGACTGGGGGTCGTGCACGTCCTCCCATAAAACCAAAGTCATCCCTTCTTGGAAAAATTCCTATGACTGCCCTCTTGGGGGTCTGTGTTGAAGACCAGGAGCCTGTTAAGACTCCATACTCACAAGGGGGTGGTTCCAAATGTGTGACTCCTGAGAATGCCAATAAGGCTTCACATCCCCAGAAGAAGACACATCCATCAAAAGATGACATTATACCTGGGGAGTCACACCAAACAGCGATAGGTAGCTCCGGTCATCATGCCGATGAGTTATACTATCAGGCTAGGGGTGTAAATAAATCTCGAAAGAGAAGTATCTGAGAAATCACCTCTCACTGTCCATGTGAGAGGCTTATCAGGACACTACTTTCAGAATGTAGCTACCCCAAGACCGCTCCACAGAGGGTCTCGATATTCCAAAGGCTTTCCTTCAAATGGTCAAAGCTCAAATAAAAGCGCTTCCACAAGAAGAGATCGATCGTTCATGATGACGAACTCCCAGAAGTCACTACCAACATGGCTGATAAAGGAAAGTTAAAACAGCGTTCAACCAACACCAGTCCTGACTCTTATCCAGGAATATCCCAGCGTATAATTTGGCTCCAGCTAGGAACAATCAGATGTAGGGATTGCCAGAGGATGCAAAAATGGATATCCTCGGATGATGAAGCATCGGATAATTACTCCGCAGTCACTTTAGATGACAAAGTGTCTAGCATTGGGCGAGCTCGGGAGGCATTCACCATCACTCAGCATTAGTTAACTCAAATGCTCTAAGAATCTCTAGCTAAACAATGAGAAGAGCTTAAGGCTGAAATGAAGATGGAGATGGAGTGTATCATGCAACAGATGAGGGAATTGCACGCTCAACAACTGCAGGCTCAACAACATCAGCTACCCGAGTCTAGTCAACAAGCTGAATCCAATCATCGTAATGCCACACTGGTTCAACCCAATACATATGATAGTGACCCGAAGGTGGACGAGCACATTTTCACCGACCCTCCTCCCGACATTAAGAATGTCGGGGGTGATCCTGTCAATCGTGGCCCTAGCACTAGGGATGGTCCCATCAACCATGGTCCAATCAATCCTCCTCAACGTCCCCTTAAGAAAGACACAGGCGAGGATAAGAAGATGAAAGACCTTGAAAGCAAGGTCAACGCCTTGATGTCTGCTCAAGAGGTGAAGAAGACTGTTATTCCATACCATTATCCGAGAGTGTGGGAGTCAATCCCATACCCAGCAAAGTTCAATCTAATTAACTTCATGCCGTTTGACAGGAAAGGTTCACCCACTCAGCATCTAATTTATTTCAAGTCTCATTTGGGAATGATCGTTGGAAACAAACCCTTGATGGTCCAATTATTTGTAGCCACCGTACGTGGGGCTACATTCGATTGGTACTGTTGCCTCAAGCCAGGGAACGTTAACAGCTGGGATGAGATGGAAAGCATTTTCCTCAGCAACTTCTTCGATGACAACACCGAAGTGTCTATTGGAACTCTGCTGGATGAAAAGAAAAAAGGGGGAAAGTTAGTCGACAACTTCGTCAAGCACTTCCGAAACAAGGCGATGAACTACCGAGATCCGATCACAGAGGAGTGTTAGACCCTAGAGGAGGGGTGATTAGGGTCTTATGCTAATCTAATCCGGTTATATACCAATTAAAATTAATTAACAAGTTATCCTAGCAAGTATGAAATACAACAAGATATATGAGCTAGGATAAGCAATATGAATAATGTGATATATCCTATATGATAAAAATATATGCACGGATATATAAACTAACACAAGGGTGAAATAAACATAAACAAGATAGTGGATGAAATAAAATGAACAATGCACAATTGGTGATATAAAATAAATACAAAAGCAAATGCGCCAATGACAAACTCAAACACACTCAAATGATCACGGAGTTCGGACCTTCTGTCCTACGTCTCCGCTCCCCACTCCCGGGGAGAAATCCACTATCATAACCAGGTTTTCTACGCTCACCCAAATAACGTTTACAACCAAACTATGTCGGTTTTTAATGATCAGCGATCAACGTATACACTCACACTCACAATGTCGGTTTTCAACGTTCACCGATCAACGTCCACTCCTCACACTCGGTTTTCTAGCTAACCGAAAACTTTACAATCTCACAATTGTAACAAATATAAATTTATTCTCTACAATAGATGAGAACACAATGAAATCTCACACTCAATTATTACAACACCCCACAACCCAATTTATACTATGAATGTAAATACAGTAAGCTCAAGTGGGTGTGTGTAAACAATGAGAAAATCAAAACAACTAAACTCAAATAAAATTTAGCATATAGAAATTATGAATAAAATAATAAATAGCTAGAAATATAGTTTAGGAGTTCTTCTCTGAAAAACAAGATGGAGAGATGGAATAAAAAGGAAGCTCAAACAATGTAGATGATCTCCTCCACTTGTGAACCAACCAAACAGCTTTAAACCAAACTTAAACCCCTGTTAAAACTCTTTTAAACTTGTTCAAAATATCCTATTGGTTACTGAGATAGAAGGGGGTTTAGGGGTTTATATAGGAAGAGTCAAACAGCCTAAGAATTAGAAATCTGATTCTATACCAAAAGAGTCGTTGGGATAAACGGCGGTCAACCGCGAGCAACAAAAACAACAGGAGAAACTCCAGAGAGTTCGACGGTCGACCATGACGGTCGACCGTGAAAGTTTCTGCTACCCACTATGGAAAAGACTCAGGCGCGGTAAACCGTGGCGGTCGACCGAGAACTGATATATGAAATTTTATAGTTTTGAACAGTTTTTTGATTTTAAAACACTATTTAAAAATATCAAATAAATTCTAAAAAATATAAAACTTTAAGGAATGATTGTAGACATGATAATAAACATGCTACAATGACTGGTTTCCAAAAATGACTTCTTAAATGAGAAATATCATCATTTTACAAAATAGGCCAAAACATGAAAATGTAAACATGTGAATTTTGACATTTTGGCTAAACCATGTTTTAAAACTTTGCACAATAATTATGTAGACTTAATAAAATATGTATATGATTATTGTTAAGTCCAAAAACTAAGAATACAATATTTTTACAAATATAATAGAAAATGAAACATATGAGTATGTATATGAAAATATATTTGTTTCATATCTAAGTAGTTAAACCAAATCACAATAATAAATATGAAAAATATAATTTCATATTTGTAAACATGAAAACCCAAAACCATGCATGTATATATATAACTATAACTATATATATACATTGAAACTAAATACATGTGTGTATATGATATTAAGCTTAAGGTACTTAACACACATAATATAAAACCTAAACTAAGTTACCCAAGCTAGATCTTGATCTTTAATAAGCTCGACTTAGTATACTTGCGGATGAAGCTTGAACTTAATCTTTAATTTTGAATTGCGTAGGCTTCACTCCACAATTCCACCAACCTCCATTGGATATGATCGTTGTGGCGCAATCCATCTAACCTCCAACATATTGTTTGCCTAGAATAAATATAAAACACAAACTCTAGACAAATAATATTAGATATAAATTATTTGTAAATCATCATCAAAATAAGAAGGCCAACAAGGAGTTCATCTTGCAGACTTGCCACGACAATCTTTCTTTGGATATTCTGGAAGCCATTGGAGTGGTGTCATCCAAGACTTAGAAAGAATTAAAGGTGCACGGAGAACAAACTGAATGCTTCCTCAAAAGGAACAAGGTCGAGAGAGGCCAATCGACGGGGAATACTCCAAAGCAGAATTTTGCTCCTCCCGGTAGGTGAAAGGCCCCGATGACTACAGTAGATGCGAATTAGACAATCCAACAACAACCACAACAGCAAGCGTCATAGTAATCATCGTGGCAGTATCAACAATAGCAGCCTCAAAGGCAACAGAGGACTTTAGAGCCAAAATTCCCGAAGGAATACTCCTTCAAGAAAGATGAAGTTCTTGCTATCTTCAAGTATCTCTTAGTGAACAAGAAGGTCAAGTTATCGTCGATCACGGATCAGGAAGAAGCAAAGAGGACTACTGATGGGGTCTAAATGATGTCCAAAAGTTACAAGTGCACAACTAGTCAAGTTATAGTATAAAAGTTATCGATCTCACGAGGAAGATGTTGTAATAGATAATTAAAATTAGTTCTTATGTCGTGTGTGTGATAATTAGGAGTGATGGTTGAATATGATTGGAGAAGATATGATGAGTGTTATGATTATGAACAATGAAATTTGAGGAGAGAGAAAGAAAACTCAAGAAAGTGAAGATGGAAGTTTCAATAAGAAATATGAGGAATCTAGAGTTGAATCCATTGGCTAATTTCAATTATAAATTATGAACTATTCTCTTTATATCATATTTTACTTTAGATTTATTAAGCAAAGACTATCAAACCACTCAAGGAAAGTATAACCTATCAAATTATCATCTAAGTAAAATTAATATTTATGAAAATAATAATAACTAGATAGTAATTCTAGAATTTATAAGCATGATTTATCCAACCACTCAAGATAAACATAGATAATCAAATTCTTCTTCTACCAATTAGTTATCTAATTGATTATCCTCCCCATGATCAATTAAAGTGTAAGAGAATAATTCACAAATATAAAAGAAATTAGACTAGCTTCATACAATTCTAGAATTTCTACAAGAATTAGTTCCACATCTTTAAGGAAGAAAAACAATAAAAGAAAAGAAAGGAAAACTAATTACAAAGAAAAGAAATTATGAAAATAAATCTAACTAATTGTAAAAGAAAAGAAAAAGAAATCTAAACTATGTAAGAAAATAAATCTAAGCTACAAAGGGCAAAATAAAATAAAAACAAGAAAATAAATCTACTCTATAATACATGAATATAAATCTAAACTACTAAAAAGAAAAGAAATAATAACAAGAAAATAAAAAGAGAAAATAATAGACAAGACTTCAAATTGATCTTCATCTCTATCATCATCATCAAACAAAGAGAAGAAAATATAAAGAGGAAAATATTTTATTAATTGTAACAAAAGTTACAAAGTGGAAGATATTCTCAATCAAGAGTAACCATCCTCTCTTCAAAAAGGAGTTATAAAACTTTTTTCACCCTAATCTCTCACTACGTACCCCTATTTATAGCATACATAATGAATGAGAGCCGTTGGATCAAAACATAAGCCTTAAGATAATTACAGGAACAAATGAAGAAGTTTGGTGAAAAAGGAAACAAATCATGCAAATCTGGACAGCTTGGTATCGTCTAGTGTTTTGGCCATATCTCTATGGTATTAACTCAAATTTAGCTGAATAAACATCCTATGAAAAGCTGAGAATAAGATATACAACTTTTATATTTATGATATCTCTGAAATCAGAACATATCATGAGCAAATATTCGTACAAAGAAGCACAATCTGTGCTGGAATTGTCATGCACATTTATTCTCTTCTATTGGGATTGGGCATTGGCTTTTGGCTTTAGATCTTGGTCTCTTGCTTGTATACTTCATTAATTCATGGGCTTTGTTGAGAGATAAGATTTGCTTTATTCTTCATTGACCTGCAATTAAAGATAAAAACAATTATTAGTAATATATTTATTTATGAAAAATAGATAATAATGGTATAAAATTATAATAAAAATGTCATTATCAAATATCCCACACCTAAACTTTTGCTAGTCCTCTATCAAAGAAAGAACTTAAAATTCCTAACTAACTTTCACAGGAATCACAGTTGTATTTAACACATACAACAAGCCTTTAAACCCCTATGTTACCCCTAAAAGATGAGTTATAGTCTCGTGAGGGTTTATAGTGAATATACCCACAAAATTTGGTCAACTTGCCAATTTAAATTAAGTTAGTTAATAACTAATTTTACTTGATATGTTTAGATAATCTAATTGAAGCTAGTTACTACTCAAAAAAATACCCTTATAAATAACTCTAAGGTCAATCTTCCATAAAATCTTTTTATCATAGTAATACAAAACCAAGTCAAACTTAGAAATTTATATTAAAAGTTTTGAAAAGAATATACTAACTCATTGTTTTGAATAATTTTTAAGTTTCTTGATCAAAAATCATTTTTCATGACCATATATACATATATAACTAAATATATATATAACTATATATATAACTATATATATATATATATTTATATTAAAAGTTTTGAAAAGAATATACTAACTCA